TACAATTTATGAACGCGCCTTATTAAAAGAAGCCTAAGCTAGATTTCTAATCATGTTGATCTATTAATATCGTTATTGTCATTTTACTTAATTTCATTTTTGCGAAATACCTCTTTATTATTAAAGTACATTATGTGCGCTTGCGTTAAATTTGGTACATGTAATTATCAGGATTCGCGCTGTCACCATGCAGCGCTGGCGTCGCTGTCGCCTGACACGCGCATGCGTCCACCAGTTGCAGGAAATCAGAAAGTGAGCGGATGGAGCTGGAGTTCTGTACGTAACCATACCAGCTCCGTAAAGTTTCCTGTAAATACGTGGACTGGTTCTGCAGTCTATGGAAGCATACCTAGACTCACGCTGGCTTCTTGCTCGCCATATTTTTCAAGATTGAGGTGACATGTTCCTCCCATACGTCAGCTAGCTTTCTGTGGACTATGCGGCGGTATATCCCAAAAGATAGTACTCTTGCTACTTCCTTTACTTGAGAAATGAGGATGTGTTCAAAATGAAATTTCCTAAGAAACTGAGGTAAGATACGAAAATGCAATGACAGGGTCTACCTGATAACACTGTTTTTCATAGACCCTACTGGTTGTTACGCCTGGCTGTCGCTCTATGCATATAGATTGTGCGTACTCATAACATAATGCTGAAAAGAATATGTTTATTATTATTATTATTATTATTATTATTATTATTATTACTGGGTCTGGAATGGGGTCCACTCAGCCTCGCGAGGATAATTAGGAGCTATTTCAAGCAAATAACGACCCTGGTCTAGAAACCGAGATTAACGGCAGTGGGGATCCGTTGCGCTGACCACGTGACAACTTCTATCCGCTGAAGTTGGCACTAACTTCGCCGACAAACGGCGTTCGCTCGGTCGGTATAGTTCGCTTGCAGACTAAAGGCACGGAATTAGTTCTTTTTTATAGAAATGGATGAAAAGTGGCGTAGGAAAAAGTTAATGAAATTCGAAGTACCTGGTGAAAATGAACGGTGTTTTAAGGGCCGAAGCACTGAGGTAGGAATTGGCAGGAGTAAGGGAAAAGAACGCCCTCATTAGGGTCCTAATGAGAAGAGCTGATAGGTCTGCCGTTGTCCACTCAGTGTGCCTTCTCTCGTAGCTTCAGTGAATATCTGGAGGGCGGCTTCTATGATCCGCTGTTTCTTTTTTTATTTTGCCAATTTTGCCAATTTACAATCTACTTAACCCTAAAGGCAGTAACAAGTAAATGTGATACATCTTGTGTCTTGAAGGCGGTAACTGCCCAGCGGCAGTTCTCATCCATTCAATTTCTTAAGTCTTCTGGACACTTCTTCAGTCTTCTTGCATTAGCGTGTGGGTTCGATAGTTCATCGATTAGCTGGTTCTCGTGGCCTCTAATCCGGTTTTGGTGTTTGTTAGCTTGTTTTTTGATCTCATCCGTTATGAAGGGTATGCTGAGGTCTTCGTGGATGGTTTTATTTGATACGTACCGTGCTGCTCCTGTTATACCTCGTAAGGTTTTCGATTGAAACGTTTGCAGAATTTTGGTATTGGATGGTTTAGCGCACCCCCACAGCTCAATGCCGTAGGTCCAGATGGGTTTAATAATTGCTTTATATAATAGGACTTTATTTTCTACAGATAGCTGTGAATGCTTTCCAATAAGCCAGTTCATCTGTCTCGCTTTTAGCATTAATTGTTGTAGTTTCATTTTTATGTGTTTTACATGCTAGTTTGTGATATAGGCGAAGTTCTAGGTATTTTACTTCGGATTTGGTTGGTATAATAGAATTGTTGATTGTTATTTGCGGCAGCCAATTCGTCGAGTGTTGAAAGTAATTTGTGCTGATATCCGTTAAGTGAGAAGAATTCTTCTGTGTTTTCTGTGGTCGCGATGAGTCGATTCTCTTATGAAAAGGACCATATAACAGAAAGAGACTTACTCTGTCTTCCGTCATCTAGGGCAAGTCCCATTTTCTTCAAAATTTCATAAAAACTGACCTACATTTATCGAAAAATCCAATTTCGCGAGCTTCTGATTTCGAAACGGTAGATGCTGGAGGAAATTTTAGAAGGCCTGGTCAATATAATGGCCACACTGAACGTTCTTCAGGCACTATATATCCAGACTCAATTCCGTGGTAAAAATTCAGGCGACTAGAAAGGATCGAAGAGAGAGGAGAAGGCGGACGAAAGGAAGAAACACATCGCGAAAGGCAGGCACAAATATTAATGAGGAATGAAAACAGGAGCGACTGTGATGTAATCAAACATACTTCCCTGACACTGCACTGAGAGTGCGGTAAACCAGAATCTCCTCCAGGGTAGCCGGTATTTAGGCCCAGAACCGAAAACTGTGTCTCTACAAGACGAGTATGCGGGATGCATTGCCGCAGCTGCGGATGCTTTGGTGTTCGTGACTGAAATCTACCCAAGGCATGTTTAGCAAGGAGGTGTTCTTCTTCCATAGGCCTCTGTTTCTGCCTTGCCCCTCCTATGCTCCAAGTTGCTTCATATGTGCGTCTGGAAACTGAACACTTAACACATATCGAATGTCGCTGTGATACGCTTAGCGGGCCTGACGCCAGAATTAGTGCAGTCCCAGAACATCTGATTTTCCGTCGCCACTCCATCCAATTAAAAACAAAAACTTTCTCACATCTTCGTCAAAGATGGTGACATGACATTTTCACACACACACACACAAAAAAAAAACTCCGTGAACTGTAGTCTGTAAGCTAACTATACCGACCGAGCGACGCCGCTTGTAGGCTAAGTTCGTGCCAATTTTAGCGGATAGAGGGTGTCTCGTGGTCAGCGCAATGAATCCCACGGCCGTTAATCGAGGTTTTCTAGACCGTATCATACATTAATCAACCATGTTTTATTGCGTTATCGGTAAGTAGATCTACCGCACTGTTGCCGTTAGTCGATGTGTCTCACATTCGTTTCAGCCTGTTGTTTGTTCTGTCCTCTTGTGCAGTCTCCTCATGTTTCGTTTTCATAAATTATTTTTCAGATACATTCATAATGTTACTTGCTCCTAAAATTATTCGGATACCGTATAAGCCAGAATATAAGTTGACACATATTTTTCCAAAGAGAAAAACAGTTTCCTTTTACGACATCGAATGTAGCAATTAGTCCTCAGGGTTACTCCTCATAATTATTTGTAAGGAGACTTAATTTCTGCGAAGCAGTATTTGAAAAAGGACCTCGCCTTATAAACGATCTATTAAAAAAATCAGTGGTTTCAGTCCGCAAGCGAACTATACCGACCGAGCGACCACTGTTTGTCGGCGAAGTTAGTGCCAACTTTAGCGGATAGAGGGTGTCATGTGGTCAGCACAACGGTTTTCTAGACCTGAACCGCTACTTCCTTGAAATGGCTCCTCAATTATCCTCACGAGGCTGACTGGACCCCATTCCAGATCTACTACTTCTTAGAAAATCTGGTAGCGCCGGCACTCAAACCCTTGAACTCTAGATCTGTAGCCAGGAACTCTGACCACTAGACCACAGAAGAGGTACCATAAATCTAATACGGTATGATAAAATTCTCTACGAGATATAATGCCTAGCATAAAGTATTGTATAAACGGAAAGCATAATGAAACATAAAAAATAGCATGAATGAGGCTGACAAACAATTTTAGAATGACACGATTTGGCATGTGGTCAGGTAAGAGCTCCAAATGGAGATCAGTTTCTCTGCGATGTGACGACCTGCAGTTTAGCAGTTCATTACCGGGGATTCCACGGAACGTGCTGCCTTCATGTCATCGCCACCAAAACCAGACTACACGGTGTTGCTTTGACAGTTACCGCCATCTCGTGTTAGACCCCAGTATTTATCCGGCCTGAATCACGGGTCCTTTAAATCGCGCGGCTACCGCAACTGGCCTCGAGGAATATTCAGCCAGTGTTCTCATATACCCAGAAAGATCGGTGACGTCACTTTGTTACCTGGCGAGCATGAAGCACGAGGACCCCGGAGGGTGGTCTGTGGGGTGAGGAACTGATTATACGAAAGGCCTGAGGAGTGTGACAGGGGCAATGAAGTGGGACTAGCAACAAAACGGGAGGGAAGAGCAGCAAACGAGTTACCAACCTGACAAAGAAATTTCTCGCCGTTTATTAATGGAAACAAAATTGTACGTTTAAGTAGTTATACTATAGGATTCTGATGATGGTGTATAACACAGAGATATTGGGTTTTCGGACTTTATCCATCATCCTGGGTTTTAAGATAACTAAGAAAAACACGACGTTTCGGAAACTGGATCTGTTTCCGTCCTCAGGTGAGGGAAAACACCTATACTGTTGGGTCCCTTAGAAACAGCTAGCCTCAATCACTGGACCTGAGAACGGAAATAGATCCAGTTTCCGAAACGTCGTGTTTTTCTTACTTGTCTTAAAACCCAAGACGATGGATAAAGTCCGAAAACCCAATATCTCTGTGAAAATTGTACGTTGTTTTACTGCGATAATTTATAAACCTGACTTCAATTTTTACACCGACCTCAAGAGAACTAGCATCAATGCGTTGAAGAAAGCAGTCTTCTGAGATTTGGCACCGTGCATATGTGGTGTTAACCGACGTTTCGGAGGAACGTATCGCCTCCATCTTCAGGGTAGAAGGAAAAATATAGGAAATCCGCAAGCGAGGAGACCGTGAGAACCGGTAAAAGCATCAATACCTTGTTTAGATCATGCAAATTAATATTAATATTGCCGGAAGATAGAGCACTGCCTTTTTTTGGAAGCAATATAACTTGATAGCACCGTTAAGCACACGTGTCCTTTGTGGTGGATATTCAGTTTATGATTAAACATAAGACAATAATAGATCTACAGGATATTAAAAAACTAAGAGAACATGGCAATATTTACAAATATTCTTAGGAATTTACCAACTATTCCTAACACTAACTGCAGTGGTCCAAAAAAATTGGTGGTTATGCAGAATTAATAACAGAAAAAGTAGAAGGGACTTAAAGAGACTTACTACATGGATCGGTGTGTAGGTCTGTAGTTTCTTCTGCAGTTGACATTAGGATATCAAATATGAAAATATATGTATATAATTTGAAGCCTGCAGGCCTGCGTTGGAAATTAAAATTGCATCATGGCGCCATGTTGTGCTGGAGTGTTATTGAATACCAGACATCTGGAAAATACAAATATTAAAGCATTAAAATCATAGAGGGTTTCAAAATGCAAAAAAAAAATAAGGTAAAGTTGTCCCTGTACTTAATTATTGTCACAATTTTAGTGACTCTCAACGGGTTTTGAATTGATGACTTAATTTATTGCATATTATGATACAGCGTGTCACTATACTTTACAGATCACACACACACACACACTATTACCCAAAGTCACTTCTTCACTGCCGTTGCTTGCTAGCGGCTTCCAACGGCAGATATTCACATTCCTCTAGGTTCACGAACTGTCCCCGGTCTCAGTTACCAGCTTCTAGCAGCAACAGCCCACAACGACTGAACTCCAGCAGTTCTAAAACTAACTGCTAACTGGTCCTGTTTATAACACTTCGGCACGGATTGCGTAGAAAACACTTTTGTTGCAGTGGAATTGTTCCTTAGCTATGGCATGACGTATTTCATTGTTGAGTGCGCAGCCATTGGCACAGACTGCACAGAAGAAATTATTCCTCTGTTTTTGTTTACGGGTCACTGCCTAGAAACGGCCGGCTGTTGTGACACCATAATTCTTATTTTGAGCAAATATGCCACATTATTCATTTAAGTTCTGTGCCATGCAGGCATATGGGGAGTGGAGATGTGGCTCAACGATTATTAGCGTCCGCACTAGATGGGTGTTCAATTTCCCTGCTCTCTGTCTTTACCCCAAAGAAAAGAGGCCATGGTACCCTTTGGAGGGGAGGGTGGGTCCAAGAGTGGGTCAGGACGTTGTATAGAATAGACAAATCTCTTGCCCCTGCCGGGAATTGAACCCCAGTCGGCCAGGTGGATACTTAAAAAGCGGGGTATTTTCGATTTCCGAAAGGAATTGTACAACTAGCAAGACCTAAATGTGTTTATAACCCGACACTAAAATGTAGCAAATCACTATACAACCATTCCTTAGCTATAGTCGGAAGAAAATATGTCGCGTGCCTACGGCATGTTTCATATTTTCAGTATAATTGATTTGATTAAAAGCAACATCTGGAGGTGAAGCAGTGAAACCTCCATTTAAATGTGAACATGGAAGTTTAATGGATTAGGTAGCACGACTGCAGAAATGAGAATTGTATTCAAAATTTAAGCGAGAAACTTCGAAGTATGTGACCTTTGACTGAATACGGACAAAATAGGCCTTGGAAAAATAGCATGTGAAAATGTGGGCTAAATTAAACGGACTCAAAACAGGGTCCAATATCAAACCTCTACTGCATACGTTGACACGCAGGTGCCATAACGCATGATAACTATAAACTTGCCCGAGAGAAGTCTGCAGAATGCATCAACATGACTGACAGTTCAGTAATTGTGAATTAATACCAAATAATTAGATACATATGGTCCAACAGATATGAGAACATTTGCAGAAATGGGAACGCCGTCTGATTATGCATACCGCTGTCCATCCAGTGAAGCCCAGCTATTCAGTGACATGCCGGGCTATTTTTGGCTGCAAGAGGAATCTCTGTAGTAGGAGGGAGGTATGCGGGGTTGCAGGGAACCGTAATAACATCTCCTGTCTATCAACAAGGCCACAATGAGGTGCATTATCCTACTTGAGAAGGGCCGCGCCATAGCGCAAGCCGTTAGTCGCTGGCTTCCCACCGCGGCGGCCCGGGTTCGATCCCAGGTCTGGTCAAGCGGGATTTGTGGTGGACAAAGTGGCGCTGAGGCAGGTTTTCTCTGAGTACTTCGGTTTCCCCTACCAATCTTCATTCCACCAATTGCTCCACAATCACTCTCACCTATCATCTGGGGCTGGTACAATAGGCCATAAGTTACCGCGGTGCAAGGGACTTAGTCCCACCCCACTAGCAATAAAAAAAAAAGCAATCCTACTTGAGATGCGAAATCGTAAGAGTCGAGCTGGTTTGAATTTTCTAACGCAAGAGTGGAACCGCATTCCAGCGATAGATAGATAAATAGATAGATACATAGACGGGCTAGATTAGATGGATTTATAGACCAGATTGGATTAGATAGATAAGATAGATTTATATACTAGATTATATTAGATTGATAGATTAGATAGGCAGAAGAGGTAGATAGATAGATTTAAAGACTAGGGAGTTACGGTCTATATAGATTAATAAATTGGATACATAGAAATAATAAATGGATTAGATAGATTCATAGACTACGTTATATAGATTGATGGACAGAAAGAACAGGTCGATTAGGTAGATTTATAGACTATATTAGATAGATTTATAAGTTAGAGAGCTTAGATAATTTGTAGATAGATATATAGGTTATAAAGGGCGTACATAAAAATATGTTACAACGCTCTGTGGTAGATAGATGGGTTCAATCTGATTTTGTCAACACATCGACGTCGGGAAACGCATTGTTTACGAGCTAGGGCCTCTGAAATATGAAGGAGGACGCCCTTACCTCCTAACTCTGCGGCTTACTGCCGACATTTACCTAACATTTCTCCAAGAGACCTTAGCGGAGCTGCTGGAAATGTTGCCTTTGGAAGTCCGTCGTAAAATGTGGTTCCAGTAGATGTCGCCCCGGCGCACTGCACAAATGTTGTCCGTGAGTATTTGGATGAAACTTTGGCAACAGAGAAATTGGACGTGGAGGCCCAATAACGTGGCCCCCTCGCTCCCCTGACTTGACTCCACTGGATTTCTTTCTCTGGGGTACATGCAAAGCCTGGTGTATGAGACTCCAGTGGAGACATAACATGATCTTGTGGTAAGAATTGCAGTAGCAGCTGGAACCATCCGGGAAATGACGGGAATCTTTCAAAGAGTTCAGCATAACATGACCCAGGGGGTGCAGAATATACAACGAAGTCGGCGGCCGCCATTTTGAGCAACTCTTAATGTGCAAAACAACGATGATATCCTCTAAAACTTATGCACCCTCTCTGAAATTTTGTGGCCCTTAGTGCCGAAAGGAAGTGTTTCCGGACAGGGGTGTATTAACAAAATATGATCAGACTTAACCCATCTCTTTACCACAGAGAGTTGTAACATATACGTGCATTTTAGTCTGTATATACAAGCACACAGTGGATAGATTAGATATATTGATAGATTGGTTAAGAAACTAGAGGTTGACAGATTCATTTATGGACGGATAGATAATAGATAAATAAATAAATAAATAAATAGACCGATAGATTTGCATAGGCAAACATATACATACACTTGTAGGTATATAACTGATATCGATAGATAGATAGATAGATAGATAGATAGATATACAGCAAAATAAATAGGCTTAGATGAAGAATTGAGGCACGCGGTAGCGTAGTTGGTTGGGTCAATATGCTACAAGCCGGAAGGTTGTTGGATCGAATCCCGATGAGGTGGATTTTTTCAATTTACCTAACACTTCCAGCCGCAATATGGCCCTGGGGTCGACTCAGCCCCTAACAGAAATGAGTACCAGGAATATTCTCGAGGGTAAAGGGCGGCCGGCGCGTAAGGCTGACAGCCTTACCGCCATCTATGATCCAATTGTCTAGAAAATGTGTGAACCTCAACATCTCACAACCCTTTGGGCCTCCACGGCCTGTTACAGGGATAGCTTTACTTTTACTTACAAAGAGACCAAGAGAAGAAAGAAGGAAAAGAGGAAAGAAAGGAAGTAAGGAAAAAACTATTCATAGTGTGACATGTCTAACCGTTGCTGGGAGGCCTATTTAACACCAGCGGATCCATTCAGCTTACGTGGAAGCTTTGAGCTAAGTATGCAACTAATGCCGGTCCCAGTAGCCGAGCGGTCTAAGGCATGCACTGTCTTCGCTCTCTCGGAAGCCGAGATCGTGGGTTCGAATCCCACTCAGGGCATGGATGTTTAGTTTGTGTGTGTACGTTTTTCTGTGTTTGTGTACAGGTAGAGGCCTTGCGACGAGCTGATCACCCGCCCAAGGAGTCCTACCTAATGTGTAAGATCTAGAAAAACCGAAGTGAACGGAGAAGTTCATGGAGGTAGGCTTAGGCTCACTGGGGCTGTAGTGCCAAGGAAAAAAAATGTGATGGAAGAATTGTAACTAAAACCAGACGTGAAGATGGCACACATATGCCGAAACACGTTGTGCTTTACAGAAAAGTTTACCTGCTGGAGAGAGTGCTGTTTTAACAGAAATGTATTGCACGTTGTCTACATTGATTTACATAACAGGATGCAACTTAATGATAACTTGATGCAGTAGAGCAGCTTAAAAGCCGAACATTGTACGCCTGATGATGGCCCAATATAAGGGTCGAAACATGTCTCGTCCATAAAAGCTTTAATAAAACAAATGTTGATACATCGGTGTCTTCTTTGGTGTAAAATACAGTGTTGTTGTGTAGACGGTATATCCTTATATGTTTTATATCTTATTTGAGACACGCAACAGGATGCAAGCTAATAAGAAAACAATAGATAAGTTGTAGACCGCCGTGTAGACCTTGTGTGGTTGCAGCCACTTGCTCACGCTCGTTCCTCGCTCGCGGATTTTTCTACCCTGAAGATGGAGGTGATACGTTCCTGCGAAACGTCATTTCACACAAGAACTACACGGCGCCACATCACAAAGACGGCAATCTTCAAAGTCACCGCCGTGAAAACCTCAAATCTTACAATACATAAGTTATTTCAAAGTATATGCTGATACTAGCTTAAGGAAGCCTACGTGAGGGGTTTTGAATACCAGTTTCCTGTGTCTGCCTCCAAAAGTGTTCTCTCGTAGCTAAACGGAATGTCCTGTACTTACTCACGAAGTTGAGCCCTTTTAGAAGAGCCGCCTATTTTGCAGCTACTCAAGAATTTCCCAACATTATAAAACCCGAAGGTTCATTACCGTGTTCACAAGAGTCCTCCACTGGTCCCTATCCTGAGCCAGATTAATCCATTTCACACCATCCAATCCTATATCTCTAAGATCCATTTTAATATTGTCCACCCACCAATGCCTTGGTCTCCCAGTGGTCTCTTTCCTTCTGACTTTCCCACCAATATCCTATATGCATTTCTCCTCTCCAAATTCCTGCTAGATGCCCTGCCCACCTCATCCTCCTTGACTTGATCATTCTAATTATACTTGGAGAAGGGTACAAGTTATGAAGCTCCTCATTATGCAGTGGAATATCCTACACAGAAAATTAATTTCAGTTTCATAGAACTGAATTTTTAATTCCTTTGTAATAATTAGAAATCACGAGGTTCATCATGGGCAGACTATGATATGAGTGCAATTGGTGTGCGTGACATTGTATCTCTGTACGTAACAAGCTGAATTACGTTAATTCAGCCTATAGCCTAAAACGTAACCACTTTGTGGGCTGTTTCTTGAATTGCCGAGTCCGTACGTGCTTGACATGACTTCCACTTGTCATACGCACACAGCCGCAGGCTTCACGAGACGGGCTGAACCGGTTGGTGTGTGTGTGTGTGTGACAGAGAGAGAGCGAGAGGGGGGCCCTTCGCAGATGGCGAAGACAAGATATAGGACTAAAACTGATCGAAGAGGGGAAAGAAATGTGGAGTGCTGTTGCAGTGTTCAGCTACTGTTCCGTCATTGGGCTGTGCAGATGAGGGAAACCACAAAACTCCATGACTGGGCAGGTCTGCTGGCTCACAAATTGCAGGCCGATACATAACCACTGATATGTACAGATTCAGGGTGTATATATTTACATGCTAGGAACCGGGTTAGCTCAGTAGATATAGGATAGGCTACGGACTGGATCGCTGAAAGTCTGATTTCGATTCCCGGCACGGGGCAAAAAATTCTTGTCTTTTCCGCAGTGTCCAGACCAACTCTAGGACCATCTGGCCTCCTATCCAATGAGTCCTGGCGCTAAAATAATCAGCGCTTGAAGCTGACCACTCATCTCCATCCAGTGACGAGGTTAAGAATACATGGAGCTATACCCCCACTTCCCCTTACGTTTTCATGGCGTGGTGGTTATTTAGCTAAGCACAAGGACAACATTATTTGCACCTTACCTGTATGCCTATTTTAAAATGGATTGTTTAACCAGAGACCTGGTGCAAATTGCATGGGTAGATATTTTCAAGCAAATTACAACGACAGGAGTATTAGTGGCGTTAGGAAGGCAACTATCTCTAAAAAAAAAATTCACTGTCTGTATCAAAACATGATTTGTAAATGCGATTCCCTCTCAAGCGAATTCTATGAATAGATGGGTAAAAAAATACTTAGACAAAGCCTCGCTTCTCCAGTAAGTCGACTGCTCATCAAAATGAAATAAAAGGTCTTAAGGTAAATAACACATACTGTAGGTTCCTTATGTTATCTATGAGTGTGTGCCTCTAATATTAATCCAACTTCAATTCCTTTTTAATATTATAATTCTGGAATCGCTGGATTTAAAAATATGACACATAGTCACCATGCCAGGATGTGTTTATTAAAACCAGCTAGTATCAATTTACAAAGCTGTTTCTTTGTATATCTAATCTATCTATCTATCTATCTATCTATCTGTCTGTCTGTCTGTCTGTCTATCTATGCGTCCATCCATCCATTCATCCGTTTGTATCTCTTCATATTTTACAGAGTAGATAATGAAAAGTTCAGTCCAGTGTGACATACGAGTTTACAACACTTCAGTCCTCTTTCATCTTACATGTTTCGATTCAAAAGAATCATCTTCAGAGGCGCACCACTACGATAAGGAAATACTGTCACATAAGAAATTTTAACAATATGCACTTTAGATATGACTAATCCTCTCTATATAAATTTTGTTATCACGGTTGGTTTTGATGTTTGTAGCTTCATGTTTTGTCTATTTCCCTCTCTGTCTATTTCTGTCTATCTATATTTCCATCTACCTTCCAGATTACATTCTATCCATCTATCTATTGAACCATCAATCTATTAGGCCTGCAATCGAGACAAGTGAGTGTAGTGTGAGCGCTGCCTAGTGGCCGTTAGCTGACTTGGAGGGAATAGATATGGCGCAATGAATACCCGTCTCTGGTAGCAGGAACGAAGAAAAAGAAAAGTTATCTGAAGTAGGGATGTGAAACAGGTTTGTCGAAGTAATACCAATCAATATATGTCAAATCTGAGGTTCCATTTTTGTAACTTAGCACATGTTATGAGTAGAAATGTTTAAGTTACTTCTCTCTAACTGAATCGCGTAAACATTGGAGATGATGTAGTGTGTTATGAAGCCCCACGTTCTTCTGTCCTCGTGGATCATAAGGAATTTATATTCCCGTAATTGTTTTCAGCAAAGAATGGGATGAGAATAAATTTACTTTATACAGGTTTATATAAGATTTAGGTTTTTACGGCGCTGTTTTGTCAACATTCTCGTCTTCCGGGCTGTGACACCGTGTAGTTCTGTGGGCGATTAACGAATTTTTCGGAAAAGCGTGCTGCCTACTACAGAATTTGGTTTTATTCTCTGACTCATTCCGAAAGTTTTAGGTCTGCTTTTATATTTGGTATTGAACGAAATGCAACATGACGAAATCTAACCTCTCGCGGAGAAACTTTTCTTTCTCTATTATCCGATTCGGTTTATTAGCCATATTTGCATTGGGATAAATTGTTTAGTGCCCTAGAAGAGATTTCTCTTGGTTTGTCAATATCAGTACAAATGAATATAAATTAAATAAAATTTAGAGGTTTTATATTACACACGTTATATTTTCGTTATATTACTAAAGGAAAGAAAATTCGCAGAGTGATGTTTTGCAATTAAAGAAGATTTAATTAAATACTGGGTATATACCCGTATTAACGTTGCTCTGCTGTGCCTGTACACTGTGTGTGTCACAGCCGCTACAAATTTACAGAATTGACGTAGTATTTTATTCAGGCTTATTAAAAATATATTTTCGTAATATGCCGTGGAGGCCCATAGGAGTATGAGACGTCGAGGTTCCCACATTTTGTAGACAATCGGCTTATACGCGGCGGTGAGTTTGTTCAGGCCTATTTAAGAACCAAAATAAAATTTATGGTAATTTTCGACTGATAGTTTTTACTGATCAAGAGGAAATAATTTGGGCGCCGTATCCATAATAACACAAAATGTAAAGCTATCCTTGTAACAGGCCGTAGGGGCCCATAGGGTTGTGACAGTTTGGGGCTCCCACGTTTTCTACACAATCCGCTCACAGATGGTGGTGAGGATATCAGCCTTGCGCGTCGGCCGCCCTTTACTCCCCCCCCCCCNAAGATTTCAGTTACTCATTTCTGTCAGAGGCTGAGTCGACCCCAGGGCCATAGTGCGGCCGGAAGGATGATGTCAATTGCAAAATCCAATGACCTCATCAGGAACCGAACCTTCGGTTTTGTAGCATATGCCTCAACCAACTGGTCTACCATGCGGCCCCGCCATATTCATAACAGTCAGACACATTTCTTGTTCCAAGGAGAGTAATCTCAAGAACACAAACTGTTAAGAAATCAGAATGAAAACCGGTTCACCTGTACTAACTGCCCTTAACTCAAGCCTCAACACTATTTTAGGTAAAGTAAACATATGCGTGGCGGTCACGGTAGCCGAGCGGTCTAAGGGATGCACTGTCTTCTCTCGCTCGGAAGCCGGGATCGTGGGTTCGAATCCCACTCAGGGCATGGATGTTTAGTTTGTGTGTGTGCGTTTTTCTGTGTTTGTGTACAGGTAGAGGCCTTGCGACGAGCTGATCACCCGCCCAAGGAGTCCTACTGAATGTGTAAGATAGAGAAAAACCGAAGTGAACGGAGAAGTTCATGGAGGTAGGCCTAGGCTCACTGGGGCTGTAGTGCCAAGGAAAAAAAACATATGCGTGAACAAGCGAGGAATTGGGTTATTCAGTCTGCAATCGAGCCCATGAAGGGACAATGACGTCAATATGAAACTAAATGAGTTTCAACAGTTCTGTAAAGCTAGATATAAACACACCTTTTTGGAACATGTCAAAATCAAAACTTACAACAAATTTTTATGTTGCAATGTGTACCGTTGTAATGCACAGCGTTCTTTTTTATCACAGTACAGTGAATTTCAACACCCATGACTATTACACAACACAAGTCCTTGAAATAAATTTAAGTCAATTATTGTCCAGACATGTTTCATCATTTACATTGGCATCATTTCTTTTCCCCCATGGCACTACAGCCCCAGTGGGCCTAGGCCTACCTCCATGAACTTCTCCGTTCACTTCGGTTTTTCTAGATCTTACGCATTCGGTAGGACTCCTTGGGCGGGTGATCAGCTCGTCGCAAAGCCTCTACCTGTACACAAACACAGAAAAACACACACACAAACTAAACAGTCATGCCCTGAGTTGGATTCGAACCCACGATCCCGGTTTCCAAGCAAGCGAAGCCAGTACATGCCTTAGACCGCTCGGCTACAGTGACCGGCACATTGGCGTCATTAGGAGTATATAATTAGTAATACAAAATCAAATAGCTCAAATTTATTTTCAATAATTGTGCATAATTATATAAAATGCATATAAAAGAATTTAAAATTTTTCAGAAGACAGTCTCACATATAATATAATGCGTTACACACAATGTATATTAAGATTTCTGCGTGCTAGTTAGCCGTTCGTGTTTCATGATTATTTAAAGAACTATAGGCCCTATGGTTATGTGGAACACAAGGATGCTCATCAAGAGAATCCACTTAATTTTAAGCTAAAAAAAGCAAGACAATTTTTATAACAATTAAATCGTATTGTATAGTGAATTTGTCATGAATGTATTACTCTATCACTAATTAATTAAGGGTGTATCTAATAGAAGTTAAATAGGGTAGACCTTACCTCATAAGCGTGAGGTTGTACATGCTCGGAACTCTACGTTCTGTGTTCATGATGTTGTCCCTAGCGTGGCTGCTGCTAGACTGTCCGACAGTGTATCCTGCCTGAGGCCTACCGTTCATATCGTTAGCCCTTTCTGTACATGTTTCATAAAAGTTCGGATAGGCATTTCTATCTATGGCTCTACAGCCCTTGAGGACCTTGGCCGCTTATTCAGTTTATTAATCTATACACAGTCGATAGTACTCCTGGGACAGGGGATCAACAAATTTGATGGCCGCTACGTACAGAGGGAACAACACAAGCACAGAATAAAAACGAACAGACATCCATAACTTGAGGGGGATTCGACCCCACGATCCCAGTGTTTGAGGGGGCGAAGATGGTTGGCCACTCTGATTGACGAGGCGGTCATAGGATCGTAAACATATTGAAGATGTCCGAGAGACAAACTGATACTGACAGCAATAAAAGTAAACAAATAATAAGTAAAGGTATCCCTTTAACAGGCAGTGGAGGCCCATAGGGTTGTGAGATGTTGAGGCTCCCACATTTTCTAGAAAATCTGTTCGCAGATGGCGATGAGGTTGTCAGCCTTACGGGCCGGCCGCCCTTTACCCCCAGGAATATTCCTGGTACTCATTTCTGTTGGCGGCTGAGTCGACCCTAGGGCCATAGTGCGGCTAGAAGGATTAGGTCAATTGAAAAAATCCACCTCATCGGGATTCGATTCCGCGACCTTCCGTCTAATAACATAGTACCTCAACCAACTACGCGACCGCGTGCCACCTGGTAGCAATAGAACAGTAAAATAATCATCAATCAAAGTTATTAGGAAGTTTGGCAAAAATGTCTGAAGAAGAACCCGAAGTTTCTGCGTACACAGTTGAGATGCCAAGGGCACCCAAAAAATGATGAACTGTTTTAGTGCCTGTAACTGACTGTAACTACTTCGTGGCATAGTTAGTTGAGGCACTGTGCTACAAGCCGGAAGTTGGCGTGTTCGATTCCCGATGTCATTGGATTTTTCAATTGCCCTAATTTTTCCAGCCGCACTATGACTCTGGGTTCGACTCAACTTCTAACAGAAATGAGTACCAGGAATCTTTCTGGGGCTAAGGGGCCGCCGGCAACCTCACCGCCATCTATGAGCCGATTGTCTAGGAACTGTGGGAGCCTCGACATCTCACATCTATATGGGCCTCCACGGCCTGTTACAGAGCTAGCATTATCTTTAAGAACAGGAGTAGCGCAGTGGATAGAGCGACTGGCTACGAGCTGGACGACAAAGGAGTCGGAGTTCGAGTCCCCATGGGGTCAAGAATTTTCACTTCTCAATGTAGTCCACACCGCCTCTGGGGCCCACCCAGCCTCCTATCCAGTGGGTACAGGAGGGTCTTTCCCCGATCTTAAAGTGTCCAGGGCGTGAAGCTGACCACTCACCTCCAACTAGTGCCAAGGCCAGAGGGACAACTTTACCTTTCAAATAGAGCAGACTCTTAGACATTGCTGTCTCATTGCTGAGGTGCGGAAAGTAACCCATGGTTACCTATTTCACCTTCTCAATCATCGTATCACCAATATCGAAATTGCATCATTTTCCTTCACTGCTGTCTTCATAGGTTTGACAAGTTGCCACTTTGAGACAGACTTGTCCAGTAGTGAACTACGGTGCTACTGGGGTTCAGCACTGGGCTCTGTTACCAGAGAAGTGGGGCCCTTTTCATTTGTTTGTTACTATTTTCAGAAAGGAAAGTAATGGAAGTCAAGGTCGAGTGCTTTTTAGTCTGGAGGTCGTGATTTATAGTTTCGACACGGAGACAAGCTCTTCTTGCAGAAGGTTTCTGTGGTTTTCCTGAATTCCTCCAGGCAAATGCCNCATAGTTGGCACTAACTTCATCGGCAAGCGGCGGCGGCTCGGTCGGTATAATTCTCTTGCAGACTGAAACTGATTTTCTAGAAAATGTGGGATTCTCGACCTCTCACAACCCCACGGGCCTCCACGGCCTGTTACAGGGTTAGATTTACCTTTATAATGCAAGGGCTTAAATACACGGCTATTAAGGAATAAGAGAAGTAGTGGACACATCACTAGAATGGAAAAATTGAAATAGAGGCTACTGATAAATTACAACTCAATTTCTTCACAATACTTCTGCATGAAAATGAAACTTATGTTAAGGAGAAGAAATTGTTTGTAGACTTAAAATTCAAACAGCGGCAAAAACAAAGTAAAGTTGTACCTTTGCTTAATTAATTATGCACTACTTCATAAAGATGTATGGAGGTTCTTTACCTTAGGACCAGATAGATATGAGTGGTTACCTTCACGCCCTGGCCGCTTTAACCCAAGGAAAATGCCCCTTGTACCCAATGTATAGGAGGCTCGGTGAGTCCTGGATTCCATATGGTCTTTGTGGAGAAGAGAAAAATCTGTTGGCGGTACCGGGAATTGAAGTCCGGCCGTCGCTATACCGACTGAGTTACCAGCATTTTGCAATTTAAGCAGCGGATTTTGAAATTATTCTGAGTGTCATATTTACCAGATAATGCTAAATATAATATGAGACATACGAAGAAAGTAAACTATGTATTCGACATATGGAAAAATAGACGAATGCAGAGAAACATGGTCAAGCCACCTAAGCAGACTGTGCAACATGAGGCTTCCAGTACAAACCAAAATCGCATAGGCAAGGTAAAGTTGTTCCTGTACTTAACTAGTTAAGCACTGCGCCATGAAGACGTATGGTGGAGCTGATATATAGACCCACGTATTATTGGCCTCGGCAGTAGTTGGAGGTGAGCGGTCAGCTTCACGCTCCTGCCGCTTTACCCCCCGGGGAAAGATATCCCGGTTCCCTTTGGATAGGAGGCTGGGTGGGTCCCAAAACCAATCCGGATGACGTGGAAAGGAGAAAAATTTTATCTCTACCGGCACTCGAACTCCTGCCCCTAGGACCTCCAACCTCTNGGACGAATGCAAAGAAACATGTTCAAGCCACCTAAGCAGACCGTGCAACATGAGCCTTCCAGTACAAACCAAAATTGCAAGGCAAGGTAAAGTTGTCCCTGTACTTAACGAGTTAAGCACTGCGCCATGAAGACGTATGGTGGAGCTGATATATAGACCCACGTATTATTGGCCTCGGCAGTAGTTGGAGGTGAGCGGTCAGCTTCACGCTCCTGCCGCTTTACCCCCCGGGGAAAGATATCCCGGTTCCCTTTGGATAGGAGGCTGGGTGGGTCCCAAAACCAATCCGGATGACGTGGAAAGGAGAAAAATTTTATCTCTACCGGCACTCGAACTCCTGCCCCTAGGACCTCCAACCTCTAACCAGTCGCTATACAGACTGCGCTATCCCGGATCAAAAGATTATATAAAAGAGACACAGGAAAATATAAAAATGATGATTGCGCAGTCCGAAAAGGTTCCACCCTAATTCATGAAGGGCATAAAACGGAACATTTACTTACTCATGGAGCTGAGCCCTTCTTGAGGAGCCGCCAATTCTGCAGCTACTTAAGAATTTCCCAGCATTTTATGGAACCCGAAGGTTCATTACCGTGTTCACAAGAGCCTTCCACTGCTTCCTATCCTGAGCCAGAAAATTCCAATCCATACCATCCCATCTTATCTCTCTAAGATTCATTTTAATATTGTCCACCCATCTACGCCTTGGTCTTCCCAGTGGTCTCTTTCCTTCTGGCTTTCCCACTAATATCCTATATGTATTCCCCTTCTCCCCCATCGGTTCTACATGCCCTGTGCACCTCATCCTCCTTAACTTGATCATTCTAATTATACTTGGAGAAGGGTGCAATTTATGCATCTCCTCATTATGCAGTTTTCTCCAACCTCCTGTCACTTCATCTCTCTTCGGTCCAAATATTTAAAACGAAACACACCGATTAAAAAAACAAGTCCAGTGCAATGGGGAATCGGTTCCCTTGATTATGAGACAAACCTTGAGCAGTTGCTGGTTGTGCCACTGTTACGCTCACTGGAACATTGATGTTGGTAGCACTGTCTGCAACTGGGTTCCGCATCGTATCTAGGCGCTGAGGGCAGAGCGGGACCTAACGCTGCCACTCGCAATCAGTCAAGATGACGTTGCAAACCCAAACAAATATCGCAGTGCGCCCGGAAGCTAACGCTTGTATTCTGTTCATCATGAGATCAGATTTGTTATATTGGTATTTCTATCACACGCCTACATGGGGCCCTGTCCATATTGGCTCTGTCTGCTGTTTTGAAAGACAAGAATTAAGATTAATTTAGCAACTTCTCTCCTGTTTAAATGCCAACCTCATTAACGTATCACAAATTTACGTCTGAAAACCGAATCCTGAAGACGTACCTGTTACACCTGTTATAAAGGAAACGTCACTAACTAAATCATGAATACACTTATGACCTCGTAACATCACTAATTCCAGAGCACCGGTTCATAACGGACTAACCACTACATCGCATGAAGCGTCCTCAGGTTGCGGGTGGAGGAGACGGCCTGTAGATGTGGAGGGTAGCTGCGAATATACTGAATAATTAGGCACGGACAGCCGACAAGGAGTGATCCTCCAACTAGGTGGTTCGGTTTGGGTCTAGCAATTCCTCACATTAAGTGAATTCTTTCGAACGACCGAAACAACGGAATTTGAACATGAGATTTGGCGCATGGAATATGAGAGGTCTGTATATGGCAAGTTCACGGATAACCGTTGCAAGAGAATCAGCAAATAACGCTTTAGATTTAGCTGGAGTAACGGCTGTCAGAACCAACGTCGGTAGCACCGAACAAACAGATAATTTTCCGTGGAAAGGGGAATGAGAATTATGAATTAGGATTTTTCGCATACGAGATAATCATATCAGCAATTAGGAGAGTCGAGTTTGCTAGTGATAGCATGTCGCTTATATCACCAAGAGTTCGGTGATATGTTATTATAGTTCTGAATATGCACCCCCGCTAGAGGACGAAACTGATGACACGGGGTGAAACTTCATGAGGAACTACAGCACACATTTGATGAATTTCGTAAATACTACATTAAATGTTGAAGACAGTTCATTGCCAAAGTAGACAAAGAAGATA